AACTAGCAACGAAGACTGATTCCTGGAAACAAGCTAAATGAGAGCCACATTTTAAACACAGGTGGATTTGAATATAAATTTGACAGCAAAGTGAGTGGTGACAAAGCCGAGTTCAGTTTTTGTTTGCTATGAGGGGCAGCAATAATGAAAAGTGCAGAAGTACTAGGCAGCTTAACCTCTCAGAGCCTGTACAATTGGCTCTCGATCACTCCGAGTTGGGGAAAGGTTTAAATGAGATTGTGTATTTGAGGTGTCGGGCATACAGCAGGGCTGACTAATGTTTCATTCTTCTCTCAGCATCTGCAATCCAACAGGGACCAGGACTGGACTTATATTACCACATCAGTCCCTAGTACAGTATTACACACATAACAAGCCTCCGTGGGGATAATGTAAGGGGAAATGGCTTTACTTCCTGGAGTGTACCCAAAATAATTTGTAGACTACAAATTGATGAAGGTAAAAGCAGAAGTTTATAATCCCATAATTCCGTGGAAGTTGGCATACTGAGACAACTGGGAGAAAGAAAAGTGAAGGAACAGTTCTATCTCCTGAGCTTGGTCTGAATCTAAATGCCTCAATGCAACTGGTGACCGACTACACGGGAGATATTTTATTTCATGTCTTTTTCTACATCTGTCCAAGTTCTGAATATAAATGTAGATAGAAACAAGAACTGGCCTTTCAGTAAGGGTTAGGGAAAGAATAAAAGTCACTGTTGATCAAGTAAACGATCAAATGAAAATGTCTCTCTTCATTATCCAATTGCAAGAGAAATCGGGCATATAATACAGGTTAAATGAAGCAACAAAAGAAGGAAAAGTGTCAAGAAAGAGGGGAAAAAAAACTAGACAAAAAAAGAGCACCATAAAGCCACAGATGTTGTCCAGGATTTTTTAAATAGTGGAATGTAATTAATTGGCTTCAGAAAACATCTCTAACAATTTCACACTAACAAAGGCAGCGGTACACAGCTGCTCCGTACATCCAGCGCACAATCTGAATGCCAACAGAAGTGTCCTCTCCAGAGAAAAGAAGTCAAGGGGAATAGCTGAATTTCTACATTACTAAAAGTCAAGTGGTCTAAAATTAAATTAGTTTGGTGAATGAGAACCAGAAATTGATTCTAATTCTAAAATAAACTAAATGTCCCATTCTAATTCTAAAATAAACTAAATGTCCCACATGAAATGTCCCAGGCTAAATGATACCCCACAACCATCCTCAAACAAACAAAAAAAGACATCAAAAATCATAAAAGCATCAGTTACGTTTACTGAGTGTCATCTGTCTGCCAGGCTCTACTCTAAGCATGTTCCCAATATCCACTCAGGAATGCTCAAGGTAGGATCCTTTCAAAACAAACAAAATTAAAACTATTTTTGTTTGTTTGTTTGTTTAGCTGAGCCACCCTGCCACCTGTTGGTAGCTCAGCAGCTGCTCAGCTCGGGCCGGAACTCGAACCACTGTTGTTAAAACTATTATTTTATAAAGAAAGAATCTCAAACACAAAGTAACTTTTCCAAAAGCAGAGAGTTTAGAAAGCATCAGAAATGGAAGCTGAAATCAACTCCGAGGCTCTAATTGAGTACTTCCAATCGAAGTGACCGTATTGGTGAAATTCTCCTCACTCTTATAAAGGCACCAACTAAGACGCTACAATAAAATGAAAAATACCAGAGTTTCAAAGTTATTCTCAGATTAAAACTCTGAAAAAGAACTTCCTAGTTCCCTCCCCAGGGGAATTACCTCCATCCCACTGGCTCAATTACCTGCATCCATTCTTCGTCTTCCATTAGTCTCTTAAGACAATGAACGCATACCATGGTGCCAAGAAAATGAGTTCTCAGTGATTGTTGACAATCAATGAATATAACAGCTGTTCAATAAGTGCTCACTGAACTGAATTCAACTGAACAACAACAAAAAAGCCTGGTCATCTGCACACAAAGACACTGGAATAGACTAATGAAGAACTGTTCCACACCTAGTTAAAGGTTCCCAACCTAAATATCAAGCTCCAATATTCAGTATATGTCATCCATCACACTTTGCAGCCCAGTCTGTCTCACATCCTCTCAACTGACCTTCACCAGATTCTTACTTTTTTCTCATCTTAGCTACATCCTTCCTTCATGCAAGTGGGGGTAGAGTGGCAGTTTCAAAGGAAGGGAACTAGGTCACAAATAACCGCAGCCCCTCTCCGTCTGGACCATTCTCCCACGCCTTCCCAGCTCTGGCTCAGAAGGTGGAGAAAGGCTGCAGTAGGGATGTACAATCCTCTGCCTTCCCCTCCCAACACACCCCCACATGCAAACTCTCAGGAAGGCATGAAATTAGCTCAGCTTGTCAATCAGGAAGCACAGTGGGATTCTGGCTAAATTCTATCAAATGGAAGACAAAGAAAACTTTTGAAAATTAAACTGAATGAGGAACCTTCTCCTCAGGGCATTAAAGGTGCTTCCAATAGACTTCTCATTGGAGTGAAAGTTCGCTCCTTGGCCCCAGGCCTTATTTCGCTAGAGTAAGAAATCAGCAGACGGGTCACAGGCCACCAAAGCTAGAAACACACTCAAATAAATGTTACAAAATCAATTTGCCAGCAGCCTGCTAATAAGGACCATCGCACACCCAATTCTCTATGCTTTTAATTTCCAAGAAGTATTTTAACTATTATTAACTCTAAGGGTTCCCATGATGGCTATGGGATAACCTGGGGGGGAAAAAAAAAGTCTGACTGGATCTTACAGAGGAAAAAGAAGTAAATGTGTGGGAGAGGGACAAACCCCCACAGAATCTAGGAGCACATGCCCTATAGCTATACTGGTTTGGCTTCCATCCCCAAAAGCTGTCCCTGTCACCTTATGACACAGAGAAGAGGCATCTAACCCCCACAAGGAAAACTATGGCAAAAGCATTTCACTGAGCCTAGAGGCATTCTCCTTCCTGCAATAGTAGCACCAGGGAGCTGTTATGAACTACTTCTCAATGGCAACTGCCCACAAAAATGGGGGAGATAATAAAAAAGAAATGGCAGCCAAGAGCCAGACAAGGGCACATTCTCTAAAAATAGGCAGCACTTAATTCAAAGGCTGCTGGAGCTATCCCCCATCTCACAGGGCAGGTGGGTAGATAGAAATGAGTGGGAGAGGGAGAAACTTAGCCCCAGTTAGAAAGCCCCTTGTTGCAGCTTCTACTTTGGTCAAGACCCCTGGCAGCTGCCCAGCAGGATTCTAGGCTTACACATACCCCTAAGGGGTGTATTTACACATGCCCCTAAATCAAAGAAATGCATTAGATGAGAGGAAGACATCCTGCTTATCAGGGAACACATTCTATGTGTCAGGACCATCAGTACCTTACTAGCCCAACAGGAATCCAGGTTTTCACATACTCCAAAGGGATGTGTTTACACATGCCCTTAAATCGAAGAAATGCATTGCTAAATGCCAGAAGGACTAGGCACCTCAGGGGGAAAAAGAGAGATAGGAGAAAGGAGAGGGGGAGGCAATTCTACCCAGAGAAATAAAAGCCTTCATGCAATGTAAGGTGGGCCTGCTTCCTTCTCTTAGATCAGCCTGCTCCACGGCTCAGTGTACTTTCTTTTACCATTCTCCTACTAATAAATTTCTGGCTGTTTTATTCTGCACAAAATTCTGTCTCTTGATTGAACTCATTCCTTCAAGAAGACGAAGAGCCGAGGTTCAATGTCATTTCCTGGTAACATATGGGGTAAGTGAGAGAGTTTCCATTTCCTACTCAGTTCTTTCCCTGTATCTTGCCTGGGCTAAAGTATTAATTAACTCTACTGCACTCCCTCAATTTTCCTAAAGGTGACATGAGATCACTGAAGTATGTAACAAATGCCATGTGGTCTGTAACATGCCCTGCAACGCTTTAAAA